TCACCGCTCTCCCCCCCCCCCCCTTTTTTTTTTTTAAAACACAGGAAGAAGAAAAAGTAAGACTTCTTTCGTCTCATGCTTGGAAACACCTGAAGAGTTTTAATTAAAGCTTAAGGACAAAACATGAAAGATCCATCACAAAGTTTTAGGCAAGTCATTAGTGTCTGACATAATTTAGCAACTGCAAAGAGAGTCTTAAAATAGGAAATACTAGCTCTAATTGAGTAACTTCAACCATAGCAACATAGTGATGAGAAAGGAAGAACACACAGTTCCCAGCCTATTTCATCAGTAAAATATACATCTTACAGAATGTACACTCTTTATTAGGAACTATATTTAAACATTTTCTCCCTTTTCACTCACTACAGCTCCAGGGCAGGATCAACTACGTCTTTGACAGGCTTTTTCCAGGTTACAGAGTTTCCAGTCATGGAAATCTGTAGAACCAAAATAGGTAGTTCACTCCAGAGCTGAATTTTCTCATTAAAAGCCTGCTTTCTTTCTGTGCTACCTAACCAGAAAACTCCTTACTGCAGTTTGAATGCACTGTTTCTTACCCATCAACCTTGGACACAGGAAACATATTATTCCCTCCCTTTCCGCAGCAGCCTTTCATGTCTTGGAAGACTTTTGTTCCTCCACAGTTTTCCTTTCTCCACAGTTTTCCTTTCTCCACATATGCAAGTCCGACTTTCCCGACAGATCGTATTTTATAGATCTCTGGGCATTTCAGTATCTCTGCTCAAGACTTATTCTAACTGGTCCACGTATTCTTGAAATGATTGCTGCACACAGTATTGCAGAAGCAGCACTTCAGAGCCAAGAACAGCAGATATTGAAAGCAAAATGAGAATACAATTCATACTTTTTAAGGAGAAGTAGGGAAAAAAGAAAATTTATTTCCAATTCAAGTTTTCTTATAGCACTGTAGTCTCTCTGACAGGGCCATCAATTTTCAAGCATTTAACTTGGCGGCTGAGTATATTTTATACATGCTCTGTACAAAGCCAGATTAAAGTATTTATGTATCATGGCAAGAAGATTAGACCTTTATTATTGAATAGTGTCAAACAAACTTCAGCACCTACTCATTTGCAAAATGTCTTGATGATTACGGTCATTACATATAGTGAGGCAGTCTCATAAAAATGTCATTTTTATAAATTTCTGAAATAGAAATGCACATCTAGGTCATAAGATCTTTTCTGGTTACAAAAGTCTATTCTGCTTACCATATTGAAGTTAAATATAAAGCTACTTATTCTGTGACAACTGAAAGAAAGAGATTTACAGCTAATTTACTCTCCTAAGCTAAAGGAGGTAAAGTGGCCAATCTTACTACATTTCAAAAGAGTGATCTAAGGAAGGACAAGTGGCAATATTCCCCTTTTCAATTCTGCTGGGAGAAGACATGCTGTACTTTTTTTCCCCCAAGAATTAAAGGAGAATGAAACCTGTAGAGGTTGCCTTGCAAACAGGCTTCATCAGTCAGCCCTTTTAAACTGCTCCACTCCCAACAGTTGAGTGGGTTCTTTCTGTCCTTGGGCTGTCATGAAAGCAACTGCAAGAAATTACTCCCATCCTTCACTCACAATCTGCCAAATGCCCCTCCTACCATACCTTCCTCTTCCAGGGTCTTCACTGCAGTGCTCAACAGGACTTAATCCTTAAAATTAAAGTTACTGTATCATCTCATAATGGTTTGCTGAAACTTACATTTAGCAACTCTCACCTCCGGCTTCTACTCCTCACTTGATAGCTTTCTCTAAACAGGGGTCAAAGACTTATTTTAATCTTCTGACCCTTCAAAAGAGGTCTAAAAAACAGTTCTGTTCAGAAAGAGCTGATCATTCATGTTCTCAAAAAACAGTATCTTTTTTGTCTCGAGTTGAGCATAGAAAATCAGCAGTAACATTTGAAATTTTTGGGTTTGTTACTGAACAAAAATTATTGCTTTTTGTCCAACATAAGAGTATCACTTAAAAACACTTCTTCCAACTGTAAATATCTACCTATAAAAGAAACAGCTTCTAAAACATCCGATTACTACTAGAAGGTATGGTACATGGGGGGTCAGTAGCATACAGACAGGATCAGCAATAATAATTCCATAAAAACATGCTCTTGCAATAGCATAATTTCAGCACATTGCTACAGAATAAAAATGCACATTTGCAAAATACAACATACCGCATTTCCCATCATGGTGTAGGACTTCCCGGATCCAGTCTGTCCATATGCAAAAACACAAGCATTATAACCTTCAAAAGCAGATTTAAGCACATCTGTACCAAGATTTTTGAAAACCTAAAAACAAAGGAAATTTTTTAAAACAACAGAAGCTTGGGGAAAAAAGTTGTCATCAGTCCAGCATGGCAAATATTAAACAATAAACCACCACAATATAAGCTATTGACATCAACCAATGATATTTACTATAGGACAGGAAGTAAGTACTTCAAATAAAATACTAAATTTTAGTACCATATTTAGGTCACAGCACTGCAACAGTATATTTTCTGCTTCTGTCAGAGAACTACTTGACATGCAGAAGTACACAAAAAAACCCCACTCCCTTCCTTCTATAGCTCCAATTTCTTTCAGCTCATCTCAGATAATTAATTCGCTTTTCCTTATTGTTAAAATCTACTCACTTTTTGTATCTTTGCCAACTCTCCATGTTTTGCAAATATCCAGTCAATCTCAAAAGGAAATGTTTCCATGATCTTGCCAGTTTCTTGGTTTGTGTTTTTGGAGGGTTTTGTTTGGTTGGTTTTGGTTTTTTGCTTTAGCATAAGGACCCTTATTTTTGTCCTATTTCCTCCCTAACTGGCTTTTACATACCAATAATTGTTAGGCTGGCAAACATGAAAAGGTGTTTTCTTTATGGTAAGTGACCCTTTTTCCTCAGTTAGCCCCTATTCTTTTGCCCTCAACATCTACCTCTGAAACTGGTAATGAGCCTTCCTCCACACCCCATAATATGGGGGTCTAATAAGTTCAGCAATCAGCAGATGCCTTCATCACCTTCCTCTGCAGTACCACCTCCGGTATCCCTCCCAGATTTCTGACCTTTCATTCTCATTACCATCCACACCCCAATTGGTGCAGCTTCTCTCTCAATGAAACTACTAACCTGGGTCTCCCAATGCAAACATGATTTTCAAAAATTTCATAGATGCTTCACGCAATTTGGCTACTAGTCTGTAGTATGTGTGATGTAAATCAACCAGGCTGTAAAAGTCATTATTAATAGCGAATGGCACACACACAGTATAATCGTGCCACCGCTACAAGGGAGGAGTGCTGGGTAATTTCTGTAATCATTAATGCTCAGTAGTTGCAAGCATGCATTTGGAATACTTAACTTGACCTTCCCTTGAGCAAAGGACTTACAATGCTGTAATCTGTTATACTTCTTAAAGTGGAAGAGTATAAAGCTCAGCCGAAGCACAATTTCCCTTTTGCTTGTCATTTGAAAAAGAGCATCTTAGTTGAATTCTCCCTCCTGAGTAGCTGCTCCTTTATTTTTTCCTCTCTTTTCCTTTTCTCCATGTCCAAGCTTATACCTCACCATCTGGACCAAGTCTTTATGCACTATTGTTTTGACTGCATTTTCTCTTTTAAAAATTTGTGTATAGCTTGCCAAATTGATTTGAGGTAGTACATACGATAGACAGTTACAGTCAGTGTTGTCTGAACACAGAGGCTTAACACACAGGTTAGAAGACAAGACATCATTAGGATGGGACTTTGTCAGAACCAAACGACTAGGATACCAGTTTGTTACAAAAGGGCAGTAAACATCAACATTCAGTTTGTACACATGAAAGAGAAACAAATAAAGTAACTTGATGGTAAATTGCCACTCCCATTCTAATTTTTTAATAGTAAAGCATATTTTGCATCTACAAGGCATATTAATGGGGCATGTAGTATTAGACAGACTTCCATTTATTCTTTTTTCTGCCTTTTGAAAGGAAAAATATAACAATCATGAACAAAGCACACTAGGCAGCCACATTACCAAAAATCAAGATCAATTTTATTCCATGGCAAGATGAATGTGAATGAAAGACACCCTTCTATGCCACTGGTGCAGTAAAGTGGAAATTCTGCAGCAACTTGATAAGAGCTTAACTACAAAGTCTTCCAATGAAATATGAAACGAATAATGCAAGCAAAACAATAGCTTATACAGCATCTGTTTAGAAACTACCCCCATGGTTTGAAAACTCCTTTTGTTTTCAATGTGCTGCACACATTGTAATTAAAACAACACTTGACACAGGGACAATATTTTTGTGGCTGAGCAAGAGAAGTTCACATCCTTGCCAGTGAAGATGAAGGAGGCAGTCTGGGGTTGTGGGACACACTGTATTAGCAGAATATTGAACGTGGACATCTAAGCCATGTTTAGGATTTATTGTTGGCATCCTATTACTACGAACCATAAAGCTCACAGCTTTAAAAAAATCATTGCTCAAGGCTGCTGCAGCAATCCCTATATGGGCATTTTAATTTTTTTTTCTTCTATAAGCTCCTGACACAGGCAAGTTATACTGACCTTGCTTCAGCCTGACCCACTCTGAAACAGAGGCAAAACGGCACCAATGAGGAAAAACTTAATTTATCACTTATATGTGGAAACTGGATATCAACACAGGATACTACTTGGATATTCATTTATATTAGTTCAAGTTTCTTTTGCAAACAGCTGTTTTAACAAGAATTAAGTTCATTATTTCACAGCACATTCAGATTCTGGAAAAAAGCTGCATTGTAACAACAGACTAACATCACAATGGACTGTCTTCCTGGGATTCCTCTAATGAGGACTTGTCTAACATAGCTTTCCAGCAGTATCTAAAGTCAGGTAAAAAAAGAGCTACCTAAAGGATGCAAGAATTAAATATCCATAAACCTAAGCCACAATCAGTGCTTACAAAGGATGTCTATAACTGTTTTTATAGTATATTTTTCAGACTTTTCCAAACATGCATTGATACATCATTAATACTGTTTTATGGAAATGTACTCATCTATATCAGGAAGAACTGAGAATATGGTAGTCAGTTATCCTTAAGAACTATATTCATTTTAAAGAAACTTAAGTAATATTAAACTGAGACCCTAATTGATTTGTATGAGCAAACTTAAGGCAATCATCTGTTGCATCTGTAGAACCACAACCAAAAATCTCAAGCTTCAGTTAGAACCGGAGCACAAAAATACATGATTAAAGCTGCTTCAATTAAAAGAAATAAGTAACTCTCTGCATGCTCAACTTAAAGCATTTGCTAAAGTTCTAGTAAAGCTGTACGGCCTGCACTGTCTGCTTAAAAACATCCACTAGAAACTATGGTTCCAGTTGTTTCGCTAAAATACACTACTACTTGAATTTGCCACAGTGCTAAAGTAATTAGGGTATTTCTACATCAAGTATACTACTTGATATTTCAGAGAATATAACAAAAACCGTGTTACCTAAAAGAACATCATCACGAAATAACAATCCAGAAAGTTTAAGAATATACATCATCAAATGTTTGGATTAAGCACTAACTCAGTGAAATAAAGAAAGAAGCTCTCAGAATAAAAGAGGACCTACCACTTACACTGATGGCTAAATAGAAATTTCAAGTATAAATTCCCTATCGAACAATTATAGCAATTATACATAATGGCAAAGCTTGTCCTTCTCATAAATACATAAAATTCAACTTATTGTTTCTTATCATTAGTTTTAATTCTGAGGCTTTTTAGGATTAGCCATACCAATATCCCTGATTTTGGGGGTTGCAGAATAGATGAGGTACATACCAAAAAGGTATGGATCCAATTGGCTTACAATATATTCGGCAAACCCCTGTGTTATTTTAAGGGGAAAGAAATACTTTCACTTTAAGCTTACAGCATCCCAAGTTCCACAAAACCAAAAAAAGAGCAGATAGCAACCACAAAACATTTGAATTTTACTTAATAAATGTATTTGGGAATGTGAACTAGCAAAAAGGTTCAATGTTCACATGAAACGCGAGGTCAGGGAGGGTCTATCTGTTCATTTGATTTTCTGTTCCAAGTGTGCAGGAAGAAAGGCAGTTTTGTCCTTTCCTAAGCTGAATACTCAAGGGAAGAGAAAGAAGAATCATCTTCAATATGCACCAAGACTTTTGGACAAAAAAAGCCCACTTCAACCAGATAAGAAGAATGTTTCTGTCAAAGTGAATTAAAGATATATGCTTGTTTCTCAAAAGTGATTTTTTCAAAAAAGCTTTACAAAAACAAATTTAGTGCTCAGAGAAGTTTTCTAACTTGACCTTACAAGACAAATCAGACAAGAGAACTAGAAAGGAGACATTTAGCCTGCTGTACTAAAAAACACAGCACTCAAAGTTAGATAAGTTAGATAAGAAAACAAAACAAAATTCAAATTCTCAGCTACCTAGGGAATTTCTAAATTACACGAGAAGCACTTTCAGTGGAAAGAAATTTCAAAGAATGCTTTCAAGTCAAATAAAAGGGAAAGGAAAAAAAAATCAATTATTAACGTTCAGAAATCCTACCATTTCTTGACAAACAAAGCTGGGACTTTTACTGTCTGCTGAGAAATAGGAAAAATCATAGGTGAATGTCTTAGTTCTTTCTCGTCCTGTGTCTCCAGTACCACCCTCTGGTACCTATTAAAAAAAAAAAAAAAAAAAAGAAAAAGAGCTGGTACAATACATCCTGATGAAGTAATTAAAAACATTTTACAATAACTAATCAGAAAGCAAATTTAACATAAGGCTATACACATTTAGAAATTTATAGGTTAATAGGTTAGCCTATTATTCCAACAACAGTGAAAAAATTAGCAACAGATATACTCTTCAGCAAGAATAGTCACATTACAAGACAGCACAGCAG